ACTGGTTAGCTAAACTTTTTAATTAACTTGAGAACTTAACTATAGTTTAATTGACTGTTGAAATAACTTAGCTTTTTTTGATGGGTTTGAAAATATTTGAAATGGTGTATATTATGTGCTTTGTGTAGTAGATATGTATAAATAGGCAAAAAATATTTTTTATGTAATCATAGACTTTATTCTACCATACACTACACAGACAAGAACTGTGTATAACAACAGCATTACGAGTGGCATAACAACATCTAGCAGTCACGTGTAGGCTATCTAAATATTCAATTATCTATATATTTTATCCTGCTACCCCACGCTATCTTTCATGCAAGTAATCGAGTAATCAAAAAGTACCCTTCATGTTATTAAGCGTTTCATTTTTTGTCTAGTAGTATAAGGTCTATGTATGTGTAATCCATATACCAATTAAAAAAAGTAACTATTTTTTTAAATTTACCTAACAGTCACTAGTTTTGTTCCATTTTAACTTAATACTTAGCGAGTAAGGTAAATGCACTAATTATTAACTCCTAACTTAACAATCTTGACAAGATACTCAACTTAACAAATTATATTCCAACTAATAGAGCCCCGGTGGTACATAACAAAAATAGGTAAATCAATCAAGTAGATTTTATTATTTGAAGTGAGTTATTTGATTGTGCTTCTATATAGTATATAGTTCTTACTGAAACAGAAATTCCAATACTGTTGAAATAAAAGTGAAGAGCTCTTTGTATCAATTATATAGTTTTTTATTTAGAGTTGTACACTTGCAGTACCTACGTATAGTTGACGCCAGTTTAATGATAATTAAAATATTTTAAGAGGAACAGTAACAGGTAAAATGTACCCACTGCTACGTATCGCATTAAAGTAAACACTTCTATAATTGAATAATTACATTAAGCAATAAAAGATAGATATAGTAATAAAAATATATAATTAATATTTACGCATTTATATTTATTACCTGCACATTCTATGTTTATAAAACTATAAATAGGTTGAAGAAAAACACTGAGGTCTAAAAGAATTTTTTTAATTAAATAAATTTAAATAGATGATGATTTACCATTTACGAGTCCAAGATTCATCATAATTCAATAATTGTTATTGCCTAGCAAAGTTCAATGCGTTAAAATTCAAAAATACATAATACAATGATTACATTGCAATAAAAAATTATAAGTAGCATCAGTTAAAATAACGCGTCATAAATTTCGGCTGAATTGTGAATTAATATAAGTACGCCGTAGGTAAATATCGAGTGCAGTGTACTTAATATAGGACATAGGTTATAGGTAGTTGCACGAAAGAGTAGTAAAATAATTAATCAATTTAATGTCGATAAAACTAAATATAAAATTATGGAGTTGTACAAAATTATAATTATCATGCACTTCAGCGCACGCCATTGTGTAAGAATTGAAATTTATACCTAGTACCTAATCTCGAACATATAGGCAGCGGATTTTTCTGATCTAAAAAAATCAAAAAGTATGCATGCACTTAATATTGTGTGGTATAAAGTATAAAAATACTTAAATTTGCTTCATATTTATTTAAAATATGCATCAATATAAATTAATTAATTATGTATTTCCTAAGCTTTATTTTATTAATCAAAAATATGGAACAGTAAATATTTTTTAAACATAAAGATTATAAACTATAGTTGTTGGTTAAACTAAAAATAAGATTCATACATGTTATAAAGTAACTAATATTACACGGAATATTTGACGTAATATAACGAAATAAATATTCAAGAATGATGAAAATAAAATACGGCCCAGCAAGTAAAAATCGAACAAATATGCAAATATATAATATGTAATATTGAATTTTGAATTTGAATTCTTTAAGTAATAAAACAAATTTCTACCTTACTCCATATTAATTTAGATTTTTTTGTAAATATACAATAAATGTATATATTCATCCTTAGTGATCAGTTATGGATTTAGCTATAAATAAGTTTAACTGTTTGGTGTTTGAGTCACCTATTCTAATTTATAATCAAAATTTAATATTTTAATTTTTTCATCATATCTCGTACATTATGTTAAATTAGAATGTATTATGTTATATTATTTCATGTTTGCAGTTCGAAAAACATGCTTTCTAAATTAAACAACTCACTGAACAAGATATTTTTAAAAAAAAAATTTTGTTTTTTATAAAATGTTAACAAGCGATATTTATGTTACATTAAAACAAACATACTTTAACAAAAAATCACAAAATAATACAGCTAACCACTTAATTTTTAAAAACTTTTTCCAAAAATGAATACTAGGTATATAGTAAAAAATATTAAGGGGTTTAATATATGCAATTTAAGCACATTTTTGAAAAAAACTTGAATATAAATGTACAACTCAAAGTAACTGTCATAAGGTCCCAATAAGCACATATTATATTACAATAGAGAAAGGTCAACAACATTACTGAGGGTATCTCATATTGGTTTTTATATTTTTGCTTCCTACATATTTAGTGTATTTCAAGGTATTTAATTTTCTTAAAATTTGTATATTTTTACGCCTTTTTGTTTAAAGAATACTTCTAAAAAAGCATTGAAACTTTCTAAAATGTTGATATCTTTTATTTTCGTTGCAAGTGATTTCTTTCTATAAATGCACTAAGAACAGAATTCTATTATAGCCGATCTTTGTCACCCATGTTTGTACATACTTTTATGTAGGTAGGTACCAACAATTAACGGCGAGGTATTGACTAAATGAGTTTACAAACATTACAAACGTGTATGGGATACTGAGTAAACTGTTATATTTTTCTTTTTAATTAATTACGCTGTTACTCCTATAACATTTCTAGTTATAATATAGTTATATAATATTCTCTGTGAATATGCAATGTAATAACTATTATTATAAATTATTATTTACTAATTAATATATTTAATATTTTAGATTTTTTTTTATAAAATTAATTTTTTAAAAAAATTGAATTTTTAAATCTATGGTTTAGGAAAAAAATTAACTTAAAATTAATTAACTCGTAAATTACTGAAAAACATGGGAAAAATGTAACTCGTTACGTTAGAAGTTACTTCTAAAGAAAAGTTACTCGTTAACTAACTTAGTGAAAAGTAACTTAACTTTATACTTATCAACTCGTTAATGCCCAGCCTTGCAAATCTATACAATTATGAAGTATGGTACTACCAGGTAACACAACCATAGAGTCACGACTATTGTCACACCCTCATACCAATTGCAATGCAATAAATATTAGAATACATTAATATTATTATAACTGATATATTTTTTTTAATTAAATGTGAACGGTTATTAATTAATGATTAGTATGTCTGTATATAGTATAATTATTATACTCAAAAGTCATAGGCATACACAGACCTGCATTTCAAGGATTGATTTACTTTAAGTTTTGAATGGGGCGTACAGTATTTTTTATTTTTAGCCCTCTCTTATCAAAACAAAACGTTAAAAAGTTATTATGAATTATTGCTATTCATTTAATTAGTTATTCCAATCTAATACAGTAGCTTTTCTCAGTCAATTTCAAAAGTTCACCGATATTAGTTAATGAGGTCAATTAGGGAACAATAGTTGGTAACTTTACCTTAGAATTTTGTATCAATAATTATTGTTCTTGCCTTCTCGACATGATCTTAAATAACATTAGCACCGATCCCTTTGCACGTCTAAAATCATATCGTGTCCACTCTCACAAGTCCGAGTTTATGAATAATATTTATGTTTTGAAAAAAAAATGATTGCCGATGGATACATTTGTCGGAAATTCATGTTGTATTATCAACAGAACGTTTCAATGATGACGACTACTGAATAATTGAAGTAGATACTACATAATATTATTTAAGGTACCGCTGTTATACCTAAATCTGTATCATTAATTTCACCACAATTTTCTACTAAGATTTTACAAAATATTGTTCTAAAAATACCCAATAAGTGGATTTCACATATATACCTAACGCACTCCTATAATTTTTTTACCTTTATTGTCTGCTGTAAAAATTGTATAGCAAATGGTTAGAACATATTAAAATAAACTTACAAATACGCCAGTACGGGAGATATAAGTGGCGGGCATCAACTAAACCTGAGTGGTGAAAAAATACTTTCATGGTGGACGTCAACTACTATACGTCTATACATGTACCATATAATATAATGAATTTTCATTTTTCAATATAAATCATATCATACGAGACAATGGTTAAAATAAATGATAAATTTAACCATCCACATTGAACTCACTTTCATAATTTTATGGACATTTTTTTTTAAATTATAAAATATGAAATGATTGTCTGTACCAGCATTTAGATGCGATAACATAATAATATGATAAGTAATTTAATTTGAGTTCAAAAATGAATTTCGATCACGTTCTTTTTGATATATTAAGTGAGTGAGGTTCACTAAAATGTGTATGTGATGCACATTACGACCTCGTTATTTCCAAACACGGCGCGTATAATGCAATCATAAAACCGTGTATTTTTTTTTTTTTAAGAGTAATTAACACTTAACAGCCTACCCTGACTATCAAATTTGCATTCTGGCCTATAGACTACGTATGCATGTTGGAATGTTGCATGTAATATTGCGATAATGATGTATTACATCACCTATATTTAGTACCTACCACGATTTAAGATAGTATGGTTGCCAACGAATCATGAAAACGTGTCTACTGAAATCACTATTAAAAACAGCTGGAAAATCCACCACCAGCGCTTGTATGTAATAGCAAACAGTGGCGATAAGCTCAAATGGGTACCGAGTTGGCGCACTGTCAATCCTCTGCTTCTACAATATTATAATATTGTATCGGTACACATAATATTTCGCAAGCGACAGTGGTCAATATTGCAACTGCTCTCGCCCGTCATATTTTAATCTGGTCGCCACAACGATCTTATCACGGGTCGTCGGGCAACCACACTATCCTTAATCGTGGTACCTACCCACGACAACATAATAATAATATCATTACACTCTGTCGAGTACCTACCTAACCTACGTAGGTCCCACCACCTATCGCACACGGCGACGATAATACAATTTATATAAAATACGGGCCGATAAGCCGATGGACGATTATTATTGCCGATCGGGCGCGTACGTATGGTCCGCCGGCGTTGTATTTCTCACGTGTTTATTCTTCCTAGGCACTTCGGTCGCTTAACCTACAAGTCGGAACGGTGAAAATAATATTGTGATCGCATATTCTCACGCCGACATCGAAAACAGCACGGGCCGGCTGTGAAGTGTTCGCGGTGCGACGGCATTTTTTCCGCTCTTAAAAACCAAATCGATCGAAAGCGAAGAACGGAGATAAACCTACGTCTCGGATATTGTACCTGAAACGAGGTGAGTACGACGCACGTGTTGTGTCGGCCGTCTTGCCCACTCTTTCGCGGCCCCGCTCGTGCGTTTCTCGATCGACGTTATTTGAGTTTGGCGACATCAAACCACCGGCGAGTACGAGGACTTAAATTATGTAAATAAACGATGAACGCGAGCGCACTGTACGCGAGGTTGTGAAAGAGGCCTTGCAAACCGATTTCGTGTGTGGTTGTATCGCTTTAAGAGGACGTCACACCCGCACGTGTTGTCTCCGTCTTACAAATGTACAGCATAGCAAAAACTGTTTTGCGCGGGACAACTTTTAACTTTCTGTGTTTGTAGCGGTGGCTCCGAAATTTCTCAACATATAGAGTAGAAAATTATCTATGCAACAGCGTGCCCATATTTTAGATAACATAAACACAATAAAAAGTTTTTTGCTTCTAAACATTTTATTTTTTTGTTTTTTTTTTCATTTGCTTATAAAAAATGATTGGATAGTGAAATTAAAAAAAAGCACGCTGTTGCACAGATAGACTTCTCCTTTACGTGTTGTGAAAATTTGGTAGTTCTACAACAAATATGGTGCGAGAAAAGTTGTCCCGCGCAAAACAGTTTTTTCTATGTTGTATACATTGATTGTAAGACGGAGACAACACATTCGGGTGTGACATCCTCTTGATACTAGAGTGAGTTATCAAAATTTAAGATAAAAATGTTATGCCAAGAGCATCTGACAGTATTTTGTTAATATTTTCATTTTAAAATTCTAAGTTAATTAAGTAGGTATAATATGTTTAAAATATTGTAAAATTGTACAGTTTAAAAATGCTGATAATTCGTTTTAAAATTGAATTAAAATATCGATAAAAGCTCACGAGGAGCCCTATAGATAATCGTCCTTAATACTTTTAAGTTGGATAGTATGTCAATTCACATTTTTCTCTTATATAAAAGTTAATATCGTTTGTAAGACGAGGACGGCCCTGATTGTGTCGGCGAGCTACCGAGAAAATCTCGGAGGATCGCTGAAAATATGGGCTGGTTATGATGTGTGTTAAACCGTAATTTTATTTTTATTTAAAAATGAGAAATTAGTACGAATAATAGTAGAAAGTATATTTAATCGAATTATTAAATCGTGCAGTAGCTGTAATCAAATGCACTGCCGTAGCAAGACCTCGCCCCTGTCAAAAAAACCAAATTTGTTGGCAGAAAACCCCTCATCTAATTTTTCCATAAAATGCTCATTATTAAAAAAAAAAAACTGTTGATTGTGGCACAAGACGAGTATATCTTTATTTAATTATTAACTAAAAAAAATGCTTTATTAAGTATTATAATTAAATAATAATAAAAATTTTTAAAAAAAATGCACTGAGTAATAAATGTATACTATTACTTTATTAAATATAAACATTTTTATCTCATGATTTATTATTAATGGTAATTTTTAAAATTTAACTTCAATCAATAATTTTAACTTTCTGGAATATAGAAAAAAATATGAAATATTGATATTGTATCGTTATCTATTTATTTAATTAAGATCGTTATTTAACTGAAATATAAGTCAATGTAAAATAATTAATATTTTGCTATAAGTTATCTAATATCTATTTTGTATTTTTATTTATTCAAATATATACACATATATTCGTGGATTTCATTACATGTGATATTTTGTGGAATTAAAGCCATTAAAATTATAATAATAAAAAATAAATATAGTTTAGTAAAATATTACTTATAAAGTTATAAATAAGGCTGTTTAGACTTCAAGAGTTACTACAAAGAAAAGAGCGAGTATGATCAACTAATGATCTATATTGTTTTTTTTGGAATCATTAGATAATGTTCAAGTGGTGGTGTTGGTATCGTAATAAAAGTCTATAAAACAAAAAAACATAATTCAATTTGTATGTATATTAAAGTGAAAAGGTTTTAATCGTGTTATTTATTTGTAACGTCTATAAGTTTTACATATTTTTACGACGTGGATAGTATGCTAAAGATTTTTATTTCTTAATATATTTATTTGAGTATTTTCAAATTCAAAATATTGAATTTTGGCCAACTATTTTCATAAATAGACATCGTTTTTTTTTGTTTGAATATGTAACTATATTGTTAATAGTCATGTGATATCAACATAACAATAAGTAGACGTATATAATGACATACTATTTACATAACATGATATGTCAAGATACGGTTTCCAACGGTCGGGGGCAGTATCTATAAATAAATACCCCATCGTGGTTTCCAATACGCGATTGCGTGACGAGAAGCGTGTAGCGATTACACTAAAAATAAACGACGGATTTTTATTTTTGTAAATTATCATATTATTTGAATTGAGAATGCCACTCGATGAAATTGCGCTCCCGGAAAATACCCTCTTGCCACTACGGCCCCGGTCAAACGTTAAAAATCCAATAACTAAATATCTATTGCCTATTGGTGGAAGACGACATCGCACGCAACCTAACATAATATTATTCTAAATTATTATTATTGTTATTCTGATGTTTCATAACAATATCGGCGTCGTCGACTGCCAGCTGTAAACAATGTGTAAATACTTCGGTGCACGTCGTGTCGAAGCCTATTTTTCTCGGATCGTCATCTCGTCGGTATATTATTATTATTCGACCCATACCTTTGTTATAAATTATGGTATAATATTATTATGATTTGCGTCTGTCGTTCTGTGAAACAGCGACGACTACAATCTTTGGCAAAAGAACACATTAACGCAGATCGGCCATATTATATAGACCAATATTATAAATAGATAATATAACATCTAATATGAAAATTAGTGACAGCAAAGTATTTTATAGCATTTAATAATGTGGTACTTCATTGACATATTGTTTTTATAAAAAGTAAAAATGGGTAAAAAAAGGAAAATATACGAGTTTAGAAATCCAAGATTACCAAAAAATATACCAGATAAAATAAGCACCGATATAATATTGACCATTGAAGCCTTCGAAAATGTGTTGTAATTACCAAATACCTGTTTAATTGTATTAACAAGTGACTCAAATGTTTTTACTTTTAACTAAAATCATTCTAGTATTTTACCCAGTACCCATAATATGATAATACATTTGAAAGTCTGTAATTCTAATTTATACAGTCTACCCATAATGCGAGTATTTAAGTGTAATTTTTCATTTTATTAGTTAAATGTCTGCAATTACATAATACAAAAGCTATAATAAAATATTCGCACTTAATCCTGAAATAGGGCGGTATACATATATAATAACAATACTATATGATAAACCTAATATACTAGTATAAATAGTAGCATTGATTGTAAGCTTGATGTGAAAAATGATATTATTACTGCGCCGACCTTTCGAAATTTGAAATGCCCGACATCTCCCTCGGTAAAATATTATAATATTTTTTCAACATTTCATTCAAATCTTAACATTAATCGCTCTTATATGAAATATATTGGCGAAAATGTATTTTCGATATTTGTTTTATTTTTGTTTTATATTGAATTGTCAACCTATTTTATGTGCAAACGAACATTTTTTTTTATGCAAGTCTAAAAAGAGTCGATAATTTTAAATGTCTTTCAAATAGCACAAAAAGAGCCAAATTATTTTGAAAACAATATATTAGGTCAATATAATGATAATATAATTAATATTTCTTGAAAAATTCGAGTCCTACTACAGTTATTCATTTTTAAATTACAAATTTATTTTGAGTAAAAATTTCAGTTTTTATATAAAATAACTAAGTATAAAAAAACCGTGTTTGTATAATTTTTAGATTTTTTGGTTACAGAACTTACGTACGTGGAATCTCATTTTAAATGTTAAATCCTTATTGGCTATACAAATTGAAAATGGGGACCAAACTTCCAAAGAAATGTATTGATTCTATAATTTCTCTCGGAATAAATTATTTTAAATATGTTTTATTATTCTACGTTTACAAAAGTATCATGAGAACATGTTTGGTACTTGGTGTTAAAATTGTACTCAGATTTTCGTGGGCACCTACTTTGGGAGTTGCATACTCTCAGTTGCATTGTTATAATTATTCCAAAAATGTGTCATAAATTTAAAAAAAAAATGTATTGATATGAAAATTATATTTTACAGCCAAGAGCCATAAACACTTCCAAGATGTCCAAACCATTGTGTCCTATTGCATTCGAGCAATCCGATGCCAATTCAATTTGTACAGTAAGACGAAAGAGTAGAGGGAAAACAATAGTTTAATTTATTTTTGTAAACTTAGAAACATTTATATTTACTTGGATTTTTGTTTAGACGAACAAAAGGAAGAAACTGAGTTTGTCGAAGGAGCTGTTAAGAGACATCACGCGATTTAAACGTATGCTCATCACACGGAAAGAAAATTACGAAGTCAGGTAAAATCTCATAAAATTATTTAGTTTTTTAAAAGTCGTAAAATCGCATCAAAGATTTCTGTCGTCAGTTCGTCTTCGAACACTGTTTTTTTTCTAGTTTAGGATTTTTAAAAATTTGAAATTAATAATTACCCGTAATAACCTAAATAAACAAATTTCACTGTTCTATACGAACATCAAGCATATTATTTACGTATTAAATTATACTTTAATTACATTAAATTATTTAAAACATTCTGCAGTCTTCGATTAGCTTCAAATAAATATCAACTGAACAGCTTTATTTTGGAATTCCAAATTTGACTGTCAAGCAATTTTTAGTAATTTTTGTATGTTCACGTATTATTCAATCAACTTTACTTTCATAAAAAGTTTTTTTTTCGGCACAATTACAAATATGACCCTACAGGTGCCCGCAAGTGTTGTCTTCGTCTTTCAAACATAGGTAGGTACAACATAGACAATTTGCATTGAGTAGAACCAATGTTGTTACTTGTTAGCACTTAGCTATTAGTATGAATTGACCTATATATGATCAAATTTGAAGGTAATAATATCGTCTGTGATAGTGTTACCTCTCGTAAATTAGTTTATAATCAATACGTAAAAAAACATAAAAACCTTGTGGGTCTTTGTCGCCAATTCATAGAAAACGTTCTTTTTTTCAAATATTTGTATTTATTAATATTTTTAATATTCCAGCAATTATTTATCAAATTAGTTTATCATCGAACATTTTCGGTACTCGGTAACTATTCTAACGAAAATACATAACACTCGTTACCCAACACTTCTATTAGAGTACTTAATGATTCAATGTCCCATAAAAATCGCATTATTTAAACATAACAAATTACTATACCGGATGTATTTTATAGTATGTTATAATATATAAATGGTAGGCAGTGAAAATAATATACTGTAATATTTATGATGATCGGAAGGTGTGCAATTCGAACATTACTTTTTTTCTGTCCCGAGGCCAATATTCGACACTAATGAGTATGTACCTAATTCGATCTTACTATCTTACCCCAGTATTCAAATTGGCTAAAAAATTGGGCTCAAACAACTCACGGTAATTTCAGGGTAAAAAAAGGCAACCTCCGGCAAACGGACTACTCCGCGACTTAATAATTGAGGCGGTCTCTTGCGTATTACAGTTTTCTCGATCCCGTCAACGGCGAACAGCTGAAACTCATGTGCACCGACACCGTATGCACCGGGCGCGTGCTGCACGCGGGAGTGCGGACGCTGCAATCAGCCATCGTCCGGGAACGGTCGCACAGGCGGGAATACGTGGACGGCCTGATGCGTTACATGCGAGAGCTGGACAAGCTGGACGAGTCCAAGGAGGAGCTGCTGGATGGCCTGGAGCGGATGCGGGCCGGCGTGGACGGCACCGTGGACGCTCTCCGGGCGGACGTGGAACGGGCCCACGGCCAGTACGAGGAACGCAAGAGACGGTTCTTCCGGTTCTCCGACGGCGCGGACGGATCCGAACCGCAAGAGTTGACCGCCACCGCTGGCGATCACGAGTTCCAGTCGCTGTGCTTGGACGTGGCGGCCGACACCGTCTCGCTACGTAGCCACGGCGATTGCTGGCCCGATGACATCGAGACCGACGACGATGACGGTTGGCTGGAAGACATCGAAGCCGACGGCGACGCCGACGCCGCCCAAACGATCTTCCGACGGCTCCGGCGGGACGCAGAGGCTCGTGGTGCTGACGGCTATCGGTCGCGGACTGACGAACTGCTAAAGCTCTGGCGCGCTATCAGGTCCGTGTCCGAGTACAATCGGACGCTTGAGACGGCCGCACGAGAGCTTGACGAACAGAAGGATTCCCTGCAGGCCAGCCTGTGCTGCGCGACGGCCGTGTGCACGGCGCTAGACGCAGACCAGTCGGACAAGAAGTGTCGGGCGGTCGTGCTGGACGACTTCTGCGCTGTCACCGAACAGATCACGGCGCAGCAGATCAGGAACTTGGAGTTCGGCCGCATGCTGGCCGTCGACGAAAGGCAGATCGATGAAGAACTGCTCAAGATCGGACAGCTGAAGGCCAAGGTTGCCAGGTAGGTAACTTATTTGATTATATTACGTGGTGTTTTGGTTATAGACTTAAATAGTTAAATTTAAAGATCGTTTTATATATTTTATGCAAATGACTATTAGCGGGATATAAAAATACCACCTATATTTGAATTTTAAATTACATGGCTTCAAAACGTTTTTATAACGTTACCTACGAGTATAACTCGATTCAAAAAACGATAGAAATCGATAACCGGTAGCATATAAATAAGGTGGGAGGAGCAGAGTGTGCAACGGCATAACTAGGTAACTTAAAAAATGTTAACAATTGGCCCGCCATTATTACTTCCATGTCATAATTAACTTATACGTTATGATTTCATATATAGGTAATATAAATAAAATATTTTTTTTTTCAAGTTTTTGTATAATTTTGGTTTAACGGGTTTATTGATTATACCTTATTTGTCTTTTTTCAAATAATAGTGAAATGGCCCTAGCTGGTTGCTTAATTGCTTATAAGCTTTTAATTCTTTGAATTGCTAGCTATTTAAAAGTTGCATTAGTCGTTATAAGTTTCAATTAGAATTATAAAAGAGAATGAAGGAATATTTACATAGGTTTGCATAGGTTACCTACATTACATATTTGAATATTTTTTTTTTTAATGGCCTGGTGAATTGTCAAAATTCACCAGCTTAAAAGTTTGCACACACAGAAAAAAAACTGAAATGACGCCCCTGACGTAAACGATAAACGATCGAAAACGGATAGCGAAACAGAAAACGATAAATGATTATAATTAATAATATCGAATAACGTAACAGAAAACGATTAACGATTAAAAGATAACATTGCCAGAAAAAAAATGTTTATAAAATTATAATCATTAATCAAATATATTTGGTTATTTTTGAAAAACTGTGACTTTAAATACTAGGTACCTAATTAAAAAGAAAATAAATCTAAATGGAATTCAAATAACGTTTAACCTGTTTGAATAGGTTACCTAAAAAATAAAATGGTTTTTTTAAACAGCGACCCACTTTTGACCAAATCGCCTTAAATTAAAATCATTAATTTACCTTATTTATCTGATGCTGTTCCTAATATCACATTTTAGGCTCTATAAAATATATTTAAACATATGCGATCCAAATATTTAGCACCCGCTCAAAAGCTTTACAATACTAGGTATACATACTTACTGTTGTCATTTTTTTTACAGGAAAAAAGAGAAAAAGCAAAAGCTTCTTGAGCAAACAGACAGTGTGAAAAGTCAACTGGAAGTGTACAAGAATCGTTATGAAGACTTAAATAGAAAAAGAGCTCTTCTCGAAGACAATCTAAACATGACAAAACGTTCACCCAGCAAATTAGCAAATCAATCAGAGCAACAAGGTTTCGGACAGAGAGTGAAGCATTTGGAACAACTCAAAAACCAATACAACAAACTGGCTAATGTAAATTCGTTTTATATTTGATACAATTTTTAGATATATAATACTATATTATAACCAACGACATGCATTGTTTTTTGATGTCCAAACGTAGGTAATATTGACAAATGGTGACAAACGCACCATTACATGTAATGTTGTACGTATTATTTGTAGTTTATTATTTAATTTAAATTGATTGTCGAAATGCTTTATACGGCCTACCTATAAATTTAATTATTGCGCAAGTGTCAACACACTTAAGTTAATATTTATACAAGACTTTTATAATTTGTCATCAGAATAGTTAACTAAATATTTTGAGAAATTATACTTAACTAATTGTCCTATCAATTTTAATATTATATTGATATTGAAACATATTTTTTCCTCGGTATTTAAATTCAAATATAAAATCAACAACTTTTCAACCACCCACGAGTAAAATTAATATCATTATTATTAATTTGTTTAAACAATAATGCAGTCATCATGATAACATTAATATGATATATTAATAATGCGTTGACGTGATTTTTCAGAAAAGAGATGCGTTAAAACTGAAAATTCAAACTCAACAACAGGTGGTCAAGACACCACGTCGGATAAATACGTTTTGGAATACTTAGCCATACTTTTTGCACAGTTTATTGGATTAACCTTGATTTTGCAAATATTCTTGTATGTTTAGGCGTCTCAAAAGCTTTATTTTTCACTAAACCAGGCTCAAAGTTTAATTAGAATTTAACACGTTAATATAACACATCATTTTACTTTTTTATTTATTTAGGTCATAACATTCTATTTAATTTACTGTCCAAAGCGATTAATTTACTTTTTTCAAATTTAGTTAACTTTAAGATTATAATATGTGCACAGTGGTTTAAAAAAAAAAAATTATACATTGAAGCAAAAAATGTTTATTTTAAGTTCATCTCGATAATAATACTATTACATAAACATTAAGTTTGCTTTTTGTTCCATTGTCCATAAACTATTGTTATAATTATGATTATTTTATAATTATTATTAATATATATTATGCGCAAGCACATTACATATGCTATATATACTTATTATTGTTACAAATTGTGTAATAGTTTAAATTTACATAACAATCAATGTCTAATATATGTAGTTAACTTATGTAAACACAACAAATGAAGATCTTAAAATACTTATAAATACTACTAAAAGCGCATCATATGCAAATAACAGTATTGTAAAATAATGTTATGTTAAAATTGCATTTCAATCGTTAGAATACAATATAAGTCTTCCACTTAAGATGCTAAAATTTAAATACTACGAAAAATTTTTTTATATAATAATACAATTTAGACTAAAAAAAAATTGAGTAAAATGTTTAATAATACAATCACAGAGTAAACAATGTATTCCATAGCCATTGGTACACATTCTTTTAATGGGGGTACTCAAAAATTATCGTAAGAATGCCTCCGTTTCATTATAATATGTTATATTTCAATGTCATTTCTGCTAAATGTATATCAGGTTTAACAATTGCAATACTAATAATATAACTACTACACAAATGAAATTGTAGGTAAAATATATATAAATATTTTATTTGACATTTATAATATGACAAAGTTAAATATAAATCAATTAATGTTGTACACATAAAATAAAGTTATTTTGTCACTGTTTCAAAGTAAGCAGCAAATCTCAAAGTTATATGTAAACTAAATTAAAACAAATCAACCAATTGGTAAAATTATTTCAATTTCACACGCACCAAAAAATAAAAATAAATAATCAAATGCATATTTTTTTTCTTTTTAGGTAAAAGGGCTGCATCATTGTATTAACACTTATCATTTGTAATAATAATAATAATAATAATAATAAACATAAATGCCTACATGCTACAATAATAATTTATTAAAATTTGTTTTTAATTGCTTTCTAACTATTTTTTTAAGCTAATGATAAAAATATTTATTGAGCTTATTGTTATAACAATTAATATATACCACTTGATTTTAGAGGAATAACTTTAATTTTTCTATTTTATCAAAAGAATAGCAATGCAAAATATATTATTGGGATATTTGCTCCTAGTAACAGTTGTTTTAAGCTTATTTTGTATTTAATTGTACTTAAGTTATAATAAATAAGTTTACTTATGATTATTTGATTTGGATACTTATGGTAAGTTAGTTTTTAAGTTAATGAATCTTTTGAGAAAAAGTAATACAGTATACAATGAAACCTCTAAATACCGGACACTTTCGGTTACTGAAATTGTGTCCGCTACATGGAGGTGTCCAATATTCAGCGGTTAGGTTTGTAGTTTGTTCCCAAAAAGATATTCGCTATTTGGATGAGTCCATTAGGGGAGGTTACTTTGTATATTAATTTCAATTAGGTTTTTAGGTGGAGGGCTAGTAGGTAGGTAGGTAGAAAGAGGCAAAATATTTAAATATGAGTTACTGGGGTAAAAAGTCCTAAATTTAGTTGATGGTTATTATTTGTGTAAAATATGATAAAGTTGGTACGATAAGAAATTTAATATTAAAAATAAAGCTTTATGATTTTGTGTGTGTTTGTACTATGTATAGAATAGTTTAGGAACAGTGTGCAATATATTAGGTATTAGGATTTAATTGATAAATAGAAATAATATTATACATTATTTTCAGACTTGTTAGAAGAAAATATTAGTTTTACTTAAAGCTGATTTTTATAATCAAACATTTTTTATATCATAACATTAAAAAGTTTGGTCAAATTATAGCAAGTAGTGGAATATAACATTATACAAGTGGTTTTGCAAAAAATTAAAAATGTTGTTTTTTTTGCGTGTATTACGATTCCCATAAAAGGCATCCAAGGAGTTTATCATAACTCTTTGGACCAGTAAAATTTAATTTCAAATTACATAAATAATTTAGTGTAGTATTTGATTGAGCAATTAATTTACCATTTCGTTGTTTAATAAAAATACAAAAAACTATATATTCAAATATAAAACATATTACGTTACATTACATTACAATAATTTATTGCTTCAATTTACTCTTATTTCCATTATGAAAGAAAAGCCAATAAACACAACATTTTAGAAAAAGAACAATAAAATAATAAGTGTTAAAATATTAATTCGGGATATCAACCAGAGTTTAGCATTACATTAGTTTCAAGTAATACAATTATTTGCAAACTAGATATGTAAATACAAACTTTTCATCAGTAAATTACATTAAAAATAATTAAATAGATAAAACTGATAAAATTAATAGATTAAATACTTATAAACATTTTATAACTAATTGTTTGAGAGCTACCTAATTGCAAAGATTAGGTATGGAGGTATTATTACAAGGGGATTTGTGATTTTAATCAGTATCCCCATTACAGCTAACAAGGGAAATCAGTATGGCCCACAATTATGTGTAACATAATATTTAGTATTGTTGGATTTAAGTTGATCTTTATGGTATTTTTTTTTTATTATTTCAGTATAAATATTATATATTAAAATACACAATCATTAAAAATAAAATGACAACAAAATAAATATTGTTAAATATGCCAATAAAATAAATTACATAATACACATTACATATAATAATACTTAAGATACTTCACGCAATGGGTAACATATGACATAATAGTGACAAACGACAAAAAGTTTAAGAAAAAAAAAGGAATTCCTAAATAAAAACTTTGGCAATCACATACAAACAATGATTTGGTTCTGAGAAAATCGATTGTTTGAAATGTTTAAAAAAAAATTAAAAAAAACATTTAGCAGTCTGTCATGCGTCTTTGTATTTAGAAACAAATTAAAAATTGAACGCTTATTGCTACATGATACATATAAAACGTTTACTTTACGTTATTTTAACAGTTATATTTTTAGATTTAAACTTTATGAGAAACACCATTAAAAAATAATAATTAGAGAACAACGAGCCCAGGGATCGTTAATATAAAAACTAATTTATAGAAAGCCAACGATGTAGAAATTAAATTTTATCAATGGAAAAAAAAAAAACTAAAATTCAAGAGTATGCAATAATTATGTATATGTGTTATTACATAATACAAATTCTGATTCTTAATAAGTATAACTAAACAACAAATTTTCTCAGCAATCGAAATTATTAAACGTAAAATACAGAGGTTTTTATATAATATACATAATCAGTCATTGCAAGTAACACATTGAAAATAATAATACACTTACAATCTACGAAAATCAATTAAAAACATTTGATGGAAACAAACCTTTTAAAAATGGTTGTTAAATCGTGAACTAATTGGTGTTCAATAAACCTAACTGTGATTTTATAAAACATTTTCGTTGTAATTATTTATGTATATACGTTTATATATATATGTACATAATACCTTGTGATCCATCAATCCCTTTTTCTTTTAATTGTACATGGTGCTTGATTGGAGATTGAATTCTAATAAGACAGTTTAAATGTTAGTATTCGTTTGTAAATATGCATGGATAATATTAAGAAGAAATATTAAAAATAACCTTTACAAATAAAATAAAAAGCATTTCCTCAAAATTAAATTTTCTGTTACTGTTTGAATAACAGCAACAGCGACTGTTAGAAATATAAAACACTCACTGCTAATTGCTGCATAGACTTTTTACCATCTGTAACTATGTGTTTTAAATCGGTACATTTATTTAGAAATGTTTGATGGTAATGTTGCAGATCTTTGGTGTACAGAACTCCCCGAATAAAGTTTTAACGTGGATCGAGTTGATTCCCTGTAAAGTAATTAAATAGGACTATATTACAATCACTTTTTTTTGGTAACAAATATGATTTAACAATGATATAAACCTTGGGGATATTTTTGAACCATCTAGATTAGTGTTGGCTTTGTATCCACACTTTTGGATTTTTTTACTCAGTCTCTGTACCCACAATTTTTGATCATCTCGACTGGGTGCTAGTATTAACAGCTCCTTAGCAGATGTCGGATCATTGTGTAGCTTACATGGTGCAATTGCGTCTTCTTTGCGCTCCAGATGTTCTTTGTGAACTTTAATTCTGCAGCCTATCACAAAAATAAAATGTATATAGTCACATGCTATCGATATTGATGCTGACATATTTTTAAGTGGTTCAACATACTTCTACACTCTAGGGCTGGTGGAGGTCTAAAAACATTAGACAGTGGTTTAGGGCACACTTCACAATTAGTAGGCATGTGGAACGATATTTGAACGAATTCATGCCCTTTTAGTGTAATAGTACCGGGCTTTTCATCCACTGTGCTTGTAACACTTGTACTTCTTGATAGATGTTCTGGACCAGATTCATTAGGTCTTCTAGCCTCACCTTCGCCTGCATACAAAAGCTAAAAACAAAATAAAAAATACAACTTTAATATTTAAACAGTTAATAAAATGGAACGGAGGAAACAATGTTTATATTGTATGTATAATGAAATACTACACTGTTACCACACATATTGTACTCTTTAAAAACTATCAGTATCGAATCCCTTTAATATGCTTATAACTAGGGACCAGATTTTAATGCAAAGCGCATATTTTTTTGGTGGATCTTAGACAATGCTTTACAAGTACATAACATAATTGTAACCAGTGTTTCAAAGCAAAAAAATTTATTTTGAATTTTTTTTTTTGTTTTACATATTTTGACATTTTTTCATTTTCAGGTCATTTTGTTGGTTTTAATGAATATTTGTTCAATATACTAGACAAATTTAGCCTATTCAAAATATTATCTGAAGATTGTAGCAGCACCAAGTCAATTTTTCAAATGTCAGTTTTTTATAATAAAATAATAATTATATCTTATTTATTAACTCCAGATTGTAAAAAAAAATATGGGCATTTTAAGGTCATTTTTGTGGTGAAATGCATTATTTAAGGTCATTTAAGGCTAATTTTTAGAGCATATTTGTATGATTTTGGGGCATTTAAATCCAGGCCAATACATACCAGTGCCTAACGAGTTGGAAGAGGTCAATGACAGTGAAATTAATAACAAAAATATTTTCGCTAAATCTATCCGTTGCTTAACTAAATAGCCCATTAAATTTAGATTCAAGGGAGAGAAATTACTAGTGTCTGATATCCCAAGTACTATGAGAAGGTTAATGTTAACCGGTATAAGGTAAAAATTTAATTTCAGTTATACCAATAACTATAAAAGTTGATCTGTGCCCCCACTCCTTATTCCATTTTTAATTATCGCTGCTGACTAAAGACTGGCCATTCAACTAGTAATACTGGTCTGAAGAAGTACCATCCAAATATTGTTGTTGGTCATGTTATCGACCTATAGTCTATCACAACTACAGTGTTCCCTAAACGCATATATAACCCTAAGTAATATCCCTATATAAATAGACTTAAGTATGGTTATCATTATTGTAACCTTTACTACTTGGTGGCCTGTTTATAGAAAACCCAATTTTATTATTATTATTACCATTATCATTATTATTATTAAAAATGATACCACTTAAGCACATAGGTTTAAACGTTGTTACATATTTATTTTCATTTCCACAATC